TATATATATATATATATATATATATATATATATATATATATATATATATATTTGTAGGTGTGTGCGATGTGCGTGTCATAATGGAAAGTGGGGGGGAGAGATTTTGCACAGTCACTCACCCCTCTGGCCACGGCACTGATAGGAACTGTTATTGTACTACCACTTCTTACCAACATGTGAACTAAGGTGTACTGGCAGGTAACATATAGTTCACTGCCAGGTGTCATCCTGCAGTAAACATAAAGGACGCATCCCAGAGGTAACAAGAAGGAATCCTTCCACAAGAAGAGGAAGGAGTTCGTAAACGTAAAGTAGTGTCCCGCAGGCAACATATAGGATGAGGCACCATGAAGGTCATTTAGGCCATTAGTAGGAAACAGACGAACATTAAGCTCTAAAAAGCATTGACATCGAAAGACAAATTATCGTGGTGCCGTGAAAGGATGTAGAGAAATTTTGACAAGCGACAAAATGAATAATTGTCAGAACTGCACGTAGGTGACGTAGTTCTGGTTAAAAGAGGACCGAGCATAAACGCCCGCGCTACAAGGGCCAACACGCGTTTTAAAGAAGGCTAGTAAATAAGGACACTTGAAAAACAGGCGGTACATAATTAGCCGTAATGACACTATGGAATCCGCTGCAATTTTAAATGCATTCAAGCATCATCCCCGGAGGGATTTAAACATATATGGGAAGAATGAAGCAAACTAAGCGGCCTATACTTAACTTAAAGGAGGATGTCCAAAGGAGGGCATTTAAGACGAGGGGCAGGTCATTAAAGAGAATAAAAAGAAGTTCTATAGAAGAAGACGGAGTCTCTTGTGTTCAGTGAATAAGTGACGTATTATTCCAATTAGAAGGCAGGTATTGTGTCATGGAGTAAAAGAAATAGCTGCCAAGAAAGAGACTTGACTTCCTCGCGCAATTACTGAAGCAGGTGCAGCAGAATCGCATAGGCTCGAGCTCACTCACTAAAACTTACTATGACTTACTAAATGACTTACTAAAAGGCGTCATCAGCAACGCCTTTTAGTGGGTGCCGACTTCGCCTTTTCAGTTTCAGGCAAGTTCTTGTATAACTTGTGACACCAAGCCAACACGTGCTAGATGTACGCGATGTATGGCTTTGTGGACGTCTGGATACGTGTTGCGGGCTCTTTCTAGGCAGCCACATCTCTGTTAAATATTAGAACGATGAGGCGACATGCGCGTATAGGGCGAGGCGCGCGTCTCGGACTTGAAAATTCAGACCGGCCAGCAATGAACGCATCACAACGGGGCTTCGGGCAAAAAGGTCACCCTATTTTCCATCTTTTCAACGTTGAGGCTTCCCTTCTTCTACACTGTCGTCTGATGGGTTTCTCAAATAAATATTGTAATTTATGTTTACAGACATAAGAACTCGTCTAACTCCTCTTCGTGTGACTAATACCAGTGTTTTGCAGTGCCACGAGTATAGAAGAGGGTGATTGCCTGAATAAGGGTTGGGTATTAATCGCTGCTGATGCTGACGCAGCTAGCAGTCGATGTGAACGCGAATTGTGCCATTAAATGTGCCAGGATCACGGGGGTGCACCACAACAATCGGCTGTGGGCCTGACGTATCTGGTTCACACTGGGTTGCTTGGTCTGTCGTCGTGGTAGCAGCAACGTGCTGTTCTCTGCGAATATCCAGCTGCTCGTACGGTATAGTGAGTCGTACCCCATACCCCCATCATTGATGGTACGGGAAAGAAACTATATGTACACGTAATATATCTGGCACCAAAGGGGTACACCGCTGCCCAGTTCAAGAGTGTTCAGCTCGGCAGTTCGTAGTTGTCGTGCTATGCCATCTTTTCACTCACGGGGACATGACAAAACTTCACGGGTATTCATTAGAGGCGTATTAGTTCTTGCGAATGCGCTTGAAAAGTCTAGGGGAGTATTGTGCCTAATACAATGCAGTTTCAACTTCCGCGTAGTTTATATCAGAACCAGTGTTCTTTCTGTGGCGTAGTTACTCCTCAGCCATTCCCGTGGTCTAGCATTGCAACTTAGATTATAAGAAAATCTAGACTAAAAGTAGCAAACAGATAATAGTTCTCATTTTATGAGTAAATCATCTTGGCCGTAGTCACTAGAACAAATAGTATTAGAGTATATAGCTCAAAGAAGAAGTGCAAATCAGACCTCAGTCAGCAGCAGTCAACTGAAGATATCCTACGACAAGTACAGGGCGAAAATTCAGAATAGTAAAACGATTATGACTAAAATACAAGAAAAATCTCTATACATAGAAATGGGGATGCAGACTGTTCTTTGAATTACACGATTATCCGAACTACAACATTTGAACAACATAAGTGTGAAATCTAGCCAACAACACTACAGCCACTATTTAATGTTAGAAGTTGCTTGAATAATAATAATAATAATAATAATAATAATAATAATAATAATAATAATAATAATAATAATATTAATAATAATAATAATAATAATAATAATAATAATAATAATAAAGGGTTTTATGTCCCACAACCCCGATATGATTATGAGAGACACCGTATAGTGCTGGACTCCAGAAATTTCGATCATTTGGCGTTCCTCAATGTGCACTAACATCACACTACATGGGCCTCAACCATTCCGCCTTACCCGAAACGCTACCGCCGAGGACGGGATCAAACCCGCGACCTTCAGGACAGCAGCAGAGCACCGCAGCCACGTATCCACCATGGCGGACGCTGGACGCGTAGTGCAATACGTTGGCACGGGGTTCTAAAGAGAGAGGCGAATGCCGGCTTTGAAAAGTAATGCGGCCTTGCCGCATTACTGTGACTGTTGTGAAAGTGGGCCGCTTGCTCGCAATACATAATAATATGAATTTCGAGCAAGCGGCCCACTTTCACAGTATTCTAGTATTTTGAAGGTGCAAGCAGATAGATGACCTTGTCGTGAAGTTGTGTAGGGGAGCCCCACGAGACTACCCGCTTTGTTTCGTCTTGGACCAACACTCCAAAAATTAACAGAGTGCTTGGAACTCTCTGTAAGAGAGTACTTTTTCGTCCGATATTTCACTCACTTTTTCAGTGTAAATCACCTCTCTTTGAGGCAGAGTATATTGATTCTCTCAGAATGGGCCAAGTACCCCACCTCAACAGAGTAACATAGCGCTGCCCGAAGCGGAATAGCATGACCACACCGAACAGACTAGTAGAGCACCTCACGAAAACCATTAAAAAGTTCTGGCCAAAATTGGGATTTTATTTGTTTTTGACCAATGTCCTCGCGCGCAGACTGAGAGGATGGCCAAGCACGAGCATTAAAACGAAAAAAAGCTTAAAAAGACAAAGTGAGACTAGAACTTCCGAGCTCTAGATGCACATGAGCCTGACACACTGTCCACTGCAGCACACTGGAAGCATTTATTTCTCCATACGATAAGCAGTGTTTTTGTTCTATCCACATTTTCTTCTTTAGAAGCGCAGATTTTAGTGTCTCCGTGCTTGCGATAACCAACCAGACTGTACTTCATGTGTTGATGATGTTATTTTGTGCTTTAAGAAATTGGAACGTTTATCCAGCACGTTTTGCAGTAAAAAAAAAAAGAATGGCGCAAGCGATGATACGAACAGCCTTGCACTGACCTACTAAGCGATTAGTCATTTATTTGTACGAAACCTGGCGCTTGTGAAGTGTACACTGAACAATTCAGTTTTTACCCCTTGGATATAATTTCGGTCATTCTAGTTCATGTTCCATGGCTAAAGCCTAAATACTACACTGTAGCCATACCGTTCGTTAGGCTTACGGCAACATCTCCCATGGATGCAATAGTAGCGAAAAACATGAGTATTGACTCAAGGAGCATGCACTAGCCCTTTGGATTTAGTTTCGATCATCACTGATTGAATGTGATCTTATTCGCTTATTTACGCACACAGATCCGAAGCTAAAAATGCGCTTATTAGGAGTTCCTTGTGCCTTCCAATGCGTTGAAAATCACTGGCACACGCTGGAAACACTCTTTTATTTTTATCGTACCAAACAGCGCAATAAACAAATGCAGTACTTTTTGCTGTATATATGTGTAGGTTATAAGTAGTGCTAACCACTCGTGGTGTGCCAGCACATCAATGTATAGATGAGAAGGAGGAGTAAAACCACGTTTACTCTCTCATGCCTGAAAAGTAGATGGACATTCCACTCTCTCAGAGAGCGGTAGAGTTGGAAGCAGTCTCACTCTTTGCTTTTATGCAGACAAAATAAATTACACTCTATCTCATGCTTTCCGAGAGTAGAACGCTCTGAAGATTAACTTGGCCTTTTAGGGGTGGAGCTCCTCATGCTGTGAATCATTCGCTCCCCTCTAGTAGTAGGAGTAGTATGTATTCACCTCTAGTTCACAAATTGGTCAATAGATGGCGTTGTGTGTATGTCCTTCTGTGTATGGCGTTGTGTGTATGTCCTGATGATGATGATGATGATGATCATCATCATCATCATAAGAATAATATCAGTAGATGGCGTTAACGGTTTCGGTATAGTTTATGATTTCGCATATTTGACGGACGGATGGACAGACATTCAGACACAGACGGCCGGACGGACGAACAGACAGACAGACAGAGTCAGGCGGACGTAAGGACGGACGGAGGGACGGGTGGACAGACGAACCGAAGTACGGATGGATGGAAGCATGGGACGGATGGAAACACGGATGGACAGACGGACGAAAACATGGACGGGCGGATGGACAAATGGACGAACAGACGCAAGCACGCACGAACAGACGGAGCCATGGACGGACGGAGGGATGCTTCACCTTACTCATCATCATTCACTCCATGGATGTGCTGTGATCTTTTACTCCTGCGACACCTTCCGCAATGTTTAGAGTGAATAGTTGGCGCTATCACTTCGTGAGGCTGCAAAGAATAAAATACAGTGTTTTATCAGTAAAAAAGCCAATTATGAGAGCTTCGTCGCCTTAATATTTGCTTCTTTTTCAGTTTTTATGGACGAAAGAACAAATATGGACATTCAATACAACCAAGCCTTCAAGAAATCGGTGCCAAGTGGACGAACTCAAGAATATGAAGAAGACATCGATCTATTTCATGAGATGCTTTTATATGAACATGAAAAAGTAATACTTTTTTGTCGCTTACTATGTGGTGCTTACATGATGTTTATGTCACTTTTCTTCGACAGAATCTGCATAAAGAAATTGGGAAAATTCAGTCGCTTTCGCCCTCAACGCATGGAGATTGATATGACAGGTATTACTATTTATTTTGCGATTCACCCTTGCATAAATATGCGTTTATGAAGTGCTAACTTAAGAGTGACCCAAGTTTCCAAGCATGGATTGTTTTCCGGTATATGAATATTCATGCTAGTTTTATAAGGATCTGTTTATTCTGAGGGACGTGACTGACATGTCCATCAAGCGTGGATATTAGCAGCGTTGTATTCGCACTGATAGGAAGGCATTTTGGCACGCTGTTGTCAATAAATTTGTTTGTTGTTCTACATAAGCTTGAAAAACGGATGTCCTCAATGATGACATAAAAATTACACCAAAAAAGAATATCAAGGGCTCTATATTCATGACATAAAGTACACGACGCGACTTCTACTTCAGCAGCCGTCCTCCCTTTAAAACCAAAGTTGCTACTCAGGCCTCGTTTATAGTCCAGGGTCGAAAATCTCGCCGTCTTGTTACAGGATGATGCTTGCACCGAAAAGAAACCTTGCGTTTAAGGTTTTGCCATACACTTGCGACATCGTTAATACGGACTGCATGACAACTTTCATTATAAAGGTCTGTTCTTCTTTTACAGGCCGTAATTATACCGTGCACGAGGATATACTCTACGCGAGTAAAACCTTTGGATGTGCCGTGATTATGGTTACGACGAAACAACTGAGTACGTGTTCGTTCATAAGCTTTTCCTGAACCTAAACTCATTGACGTGCCCAAATCACATAGCGCTTTCAAGACATCATTTTGATTCTGCTCCGTCATTGATAAGTTATATACTAATAACTTCAACACTAAAGTGTTTAATGCTTGGGTCCACCGCAGCTCCGCAGACGTATTTATGTCAGGAATTCGGACTTGGTAAAATATACATGGAGATCGCAAAAAAAATAACAAGGCAAAAAAAGCTCTGTTTCGCGTGGCGTTCAAACTGCGACCTCCCTCTCCGAAGCGTGCGCCGCGGCTACAGAGCATACGTGGTCGAGGTCTTTAACGGCGAACAATTCATTTACACCATGTACCATTGGCGGTCCTCAGAGCTCAGCATCGTTAACGCGTTCGGCTACAAGGAGCCCAACTGACCCGAAATAATAAAGCTTGGAATTGTGCCACGCATCGTTTCCATACTGCAGGTGAAGCGCCTGAGTTGCAGCTCTCGTAGGCACTACCGCCAGGGTTTGTCTAGGTGGCTCTGTGTTCTTATTTAACTCAATTTTTTTTACTTTTGTGCCCCGCCGCGGTGGTCTAGTGGCTAAGTACTCGGCTGCTCACCCGCAGGTCACGGGATAAATTGCCGGCTGCGGCGGCTGCATTTTTGGTGGAGCCGAAAATGCTGTAGGCCCGTGTGCTTAGATTTGGGTGCATGTTAAATTTTCGGAGCCCTCTACTATGGTGCCTCTCACAATCGTATGTTGGTTTTGGGACAATAAACCCAACATATCAATCAATCAATCAATCAATCAATCAATCAACAAAGCAATCAGTCATCTTCTTTTTTGATCTGACTGAAGCACAGGACTCTCACTCTTAGCTGTCATCGAGTTTCACATATTTATATTTTCATCAATATCAGAGACTCTCATACGGGCTTTTCAACACACGATTCGCTCTTCCTTTCTCCCTGCAGAAAGAAGGATCACGTTCGATTTGCGAGTAAGAAATTCATCGTTAGCCGAAGGTCATATCAGAGGTTGCAGAAAAATGTTCAGTAAGTATGAGAAGAGAGGGGGTCAAATTTTGTATACAGACGCATGCCAGAATATATTTAAAATCCGAGAATTGTGAAAAAAATAAATATTTTCTTCTTAAGTGAAGGTCTTGACTTTTTTTCAATTCGTGTTAACCATGGATTACGTCGCAGTATTTTTGAGTCAGCACAGCGAGCGCTTAAGCTGGAAAGAAGGCAAACATTGAAGATATACTGAAGCTGTGATAAACCCCATCAATATTGACATTTTCCAATTTCGTACGTTTGTTTCAACATATCACATATGATGTCGTGTAGCATCATCCAGACATTCTGCCGTTCGTCTTCTCTTGATACCGTTTTGTGCGTTGCATGCGCTAAATTGAACTGGCTAATTGTTTTGTCGTTGTCATTTCGAACGTCTTTGTGAGACAATAAGAGAGATATGATCGTAATTTTATTATACTAAAGCAAAGTGGGAGCTTTAAGACAAAAAAAAATTTTGCTCATGAGTAAAATGCAATATCTTGAAACTACCACTTTTACCACAAAACAACGCTCGGAAAGCGAAAAAACGCATGAAAAAAATGTTGGTGAAGGTGGCACCTCGAGATTCCGGCTTCAAACACCTTGACGCCGAAAATTATGAATGAGTCTGCCGGGTCCTGCGTTGCTTACAGTCGACAAAACTTGAATACATTGTAATCTATGAGTGTCATAGGCTTAGTGTATGAAGTTTAAGAAAGTTTAATCGAGCCGATAGCGAGAAAATACGAAATAAGCATTTTAAAGTTTGGTGCTTGACGCACTGGCGTTTCGGTGGTAAATTTTAAAAATGAACTTCAGGCTTGATTTTCTCGTCTAATACTGAACCTATATATGATAGTTGAACATAGGAAACTATAGAGATCTCATGGTGTAGTTTGTTAATTTAAAGCCTGCCATCGTTTTACTTTAGTGTCCCTTCAATGATTTCAAGGAGCGTGCGGTTGGGTGCGCATTGGTAAGATTCCACTGAAAGTTAAAATCGGGCTGACGACAATGTGGCAGTGTATTGAACAAGCCTGAAGAAGAATATGGTCGTGCTGTCTTCATCTGTAGTGTCTCATCCTCTGCTCATACTTTTATTTATTTATTTAGTTATGTATTTTATTTATTTATATATTTATTTATTTTATTTCTTTATTTATTTACACCCTCAGGGATTACAAAAAGCATTGTAGAGAGAAGGAGCTAAGGTACATCTACACATGCAAAACTTATTTATCATACAACAAACTATAAAGCAAAAAAAACAATGTTACAAAGGAGAATATAATACTGTAGGTAATGAAGCACAAACAGCAATAAAGAAAATATATTTATTCGTCTGCTAATCTAAATACGACGCAAAATAAAAAGAACAGCGATTATACGATAATGACAGTGGATAATAAAATACAAGAATTGAATTATGTACATTGGTGCATAAATATAGCTACAAAAAGTAATGGTACGAGAACTGAAACAAAAACATACCGAATATCAAGAATGTCAACAAAAAATGAATTCAAAGTACCAGAGCAAAACACAATTGCATATTGACTAACAACAAAAAAAGATGTAGCATAAATAGTAAGGGACAAACGAACAATAAATCGAAAATGCAGTAGTGAAGCAGCTTGGTGCAGGCTTATAATTCGTTTGTTAGTGCTTTGCAGAAACGATCTGTGTCTCTGATAGCGACAAGTGACGCAGGCAGGTGATTACACTCATGACATGTTTTCGGCAAGAACGAATATGAGTAAGTGACTGTGCGCTGTGAAGGTACATGAACTTTACAAGGGTGAACGATACGTGGGAAGACATAAGATGCTGGTGTAATGTATCGGGACTTGAGCTCATGGTTATGATAATAGATCTTATGAAACAGGGAAAGGCGAGCTAATTTCCTATGAAAAAAGGAGAGGAAGGCCAAGTGTTAGCTTCCTATTAGTGACGCTAACAGATGTATGGTAATTGTTAAGAATGAAACAGGGCGCTCGATTTTGCGAAGTTTCGATTATATTTTTCAGAGTAGCATGGCCAGGGTCTCATATTGAGCATGCATATTCAAGGTTTTATCTAACATAAGTGATGTAAAGTTGTTTTAGTTTCAGTGGAGGTAAAGAAAAGTTTCGTTAAGGTAACCAAACATGCGGTTAGCTTTAGACGTTATGTGTTCGATGTGTTTTTTTTCCATGAAACATGGTTAGTAATATGCACACCGAGATATTTATAGGATTGCACTTGATCAAGGGGAGTGTTGTTAAGTAAGTAGGCCAGACTGACTGATTATGAGAAATTCTCATTGTTTTGCATTTTGACGTGTTGAGTTGCATTAGCCAGAGCCTACATCATGTTGAAGTGTTATTTAGGTCATGCTGGAGCATTAACGTATCGTTAGGGCTTTCAATCACGCGATATATGACGCAATCGTCGACGAACAGACAAACAGTACTTGCGATTTGATAAGGAAGGTCATTGATGTATATTAAAAAAGTAAGGGTGCTAGAACAGAGCCTTGAGGTGTGCCTGAGCTTACCGGTACTTGAGGATAGTCATTGTCATTATTGCTCACATATTGCGTTCGGTTAGAAAGAAACTCTCGAATCCAATTAAAGACCAAGGAATCAAAATTTAGATGGCTGAGTTTTAGTAGGAGTAAGTAAGTGGTGGTTAACTCTGTCCAAAGGCTTCGCGAGATCGAAAAATCTACAGTCCACTATAAATCCGGCGCCTAAAAAAGCGTGAAGATTATTACAAAATGTTAGTCATTGCTGTTTTGCATGAGAAGGGCTTATGGAACCCATGCTGACTGTTATGAAAAAACCGTATGCAAAAAATGACGTGTTCAAATATTTTTCAAGGTATTGACGTCAAGAAAATTGGTCTATAGTTATGAGGGCTGTGAATATCGCCAGATTTGTGAAGTGGAATCACGTTGCCTGTTTTCCAGTCTCTAGGTAGGGAGCTGTTGTTGAGCGATTTCGTGAAAATGAGGTTAAGTGTAATGGAACTATATTAGACAGTCGCCTGCAGACATTTTGACGTGACACAATCGATACCGCACGAGGAGGATCGTTTTATGTTTTTAATAATGGAGCTGTTAACAGAAGAGTCGAGTGAATTGGGTTTCATTAAAAGGTAGTGAGGTGCAGTGCATGACGGAGAGATGCCAGACTGAGTAGAGCGAAATGAACGGAAAAGACGATGTTAAGTACAGAAGCACACTGGCTGCTTGAGATTGTCTCACCCGACTCATCAGTAAGCGTTATTGTTCGTTTATCGCGGGTTTTCACATTTCAAAAAGCATTTTGGGTTGGTTTTGAGTAGTGATGGAAGTGTAGTGTTATAGAATTTAAACTTCGTTTCCCTCAAAGCACTGGAGTATGCTTTTGCTGTGACGGCATAAGCAGACCACTTATCAGCAGATGCTATATGTTACAAAATAATGTTTCAGCGGATTTGTCTTGTTCCCTTTGGGAACCCTCCTGTTCTGAAATGTGCATTTAGGTTTGAAGTACTTCAGTGCTGCTGTGCTTCACCTTTACCAAAACTACGTCACCACCTGCAGGAAACGAAGCCTGAGGATATTTACCTGGAGGGGATATTTACCTGGAGGCGGCATTAGATGCATGTATAGCAGTTCAGTTCAGTTTTATTTATTTAAAGTCCACCATTGAGGACATGTTACACGAGGGGTGGAATTACAAAGAAAAATATAACAACGATGAATAAACTAACATTGCGAAATTTAGTTATGTATTCTTGGAAAGTATATGATGAGGCAGTGTTGACAATGTCAGTGGGCAGATTGTTTCATTCTGAAGGTGTTCTTAAGAATAATGAAGCAAAAAACGCAGTTTTATGCTATGGCAAGTGGACAACTTCAAGTAGATTGCTGGTGTGGTGGGAAATGCGTGATACGGTTGTGATGAACGGCGCTTGATTCAGAGAAGTATAAGAGAGCTTATAAAGGAAGAGGCTGGCAATACGGTGACGTTAAAAAGAAAGTGATAGACCAGATTTAGCTTTCGAGGTTGAAATGCGAACTTCATGTGAATATAAAGAATGACTAAATCGGATTGCCCGATTTTCAACGCCTTCCAATGGCGAAATTAGCTAGAAATGAGATTTGCTTGATGTACGCTTCAGGTGGCAGATACGTATTTTTAGTTTTGGTCGTATGAGGGATTCGTATGCAAGTAATTTAACATGAGGAGGGGCAAGCCGAGGGTTACGTTTGAAAGAGTCGAGCGTATTGTTCGATGCGGAAATAATGTTAGTAACATGAACGTTCCATGATAAATTAGAAAAAAGCGTGACTCTCAGATATTTAAACTAGTCTTCCAATTGGAACAGTGAACTTGAAATAGAATTGTGAAATTGAGCTGGATTGTGATGACAAGGGAATGACGATTTTACATTTAGCGGGGTTGCCAAACGTTGCAGTTCTTTTGGATATTACCAAGGTCACTCTGAAGGATTTAATGTTCAAGACTATTATTATCTTCCCCGTAGCAATAGTATGGAAGATTACACTGTCGTCAGCGAGCATCCTAATATTACAAGACACATGCAATAATAAGTTATAATATTGTAGGCATTCATCAAGCACATCTACTATCTTTACATATATTCATCATCATGAGTGGTCGTCATCTTCATCTGCTGTGGGGACTTGGCTTGTCTGAGTTCTGTGCCTTGGGCGTGGTCACTTCATCGTGTCTTCTGGGCCTAATAAAGGTTGCCTTCACTGTTACATCACAAGTGGTGGACTGTGCTCTACGATCTTTCCGTCGTCTCCCAGCCCGATCTGCCTCCTGAAGCTCCGCTCAGGTCGTCGTTTGTGCCAGGTGTCCGGTAACATGCCTCAGGAAGAGCCAACCGGCGCTTCTGCGTCTACCTCCATGGCCCCTGCTACCGCGGCCTATCCATTGTGGATTATCACCGCGCAACAGCGTGAGCCGCCCACGGTTCGCCGGACTTCGAGGTGAAGATGTGGAGGATTGGTTGGACCAGTTCAATCGAGCGAGTTTCACTAACAACTGGGATGATCCTA